AACGTGTTTTTAATTCATGCGTTGAGTCAGTATTTTAAAAAGTGCCTACATGTCACACCATAGTGGCAGAGTTAATGTTTTTTTTTTTGAATAAATAACGGCAAGGATCATTTTGTATAACAGAACAATTTTAAAAAGTGTCTATATTGATGTTTTGAAAGCTCACAAACCACTTATTCTTACATTTTCAAAAGAGTTATGAGTCTTTCTTAAACAATTGCAAACAATTTATTTCATCTTCTATCTCATTATTTTTCCATTATTGCATGTATTTTAATCTTATCTTGAAAGTTTTGTGATTGGTTGAGGAGTTTGTTTTGCATTTAACATTTCTTTGAAGATTTTTTAAGATTTTAGAGGATTGTAAGAGTGTGTGGTGTTGTGAATAGTTGTGACAATCCCAATAGAAAAGAAGAAGGTTATTCTCTCAAGGTTGACCTTGGTAGTGTTGTGTGGATGGTTACGGATATGGTATGCGTTCTTTTCGATCTTCGAACAAACCAACGCTTTAGATACTAGCAAAATTATATGGAAATTTCCGCATACAAAGACTTATGAACATGTTGTTGGGGCTAGAAGATTCAAGAAGCAATCTCGAATAAAGATTTTACATAAACTCCAGTTCGTGGAGTTCTGTGTAAGTCAAGATCCAGAATCGAAGAAATTTTATTTTCAGCATTTATTTGTGGAATAGTGATTGTACAAACTCTTGTAATATTATTGCAAATCATAGTGGAAGACCAGAGAGTTTTCAATGGGCAACCATTAGATAGTGGATTAAGCATAAAGACGAACATGCCAAACCACTATAAATCTTAGTGTACATTTCTCTCTCTCTCTCTCTCTCTCTCTCTCTCTCTCTCTCTCTCTCTCTCTCTCTCTCTCTCTCACACACACACACACACACACACACACACACACGCACACATTTAATTTCATAGTTGGTGGCATGATTAGGTAGTTTCTATTGCTTTCAAGAATTGTATGCAACATGCTAATAGATTTATCTGTTAGTAGAGATTTATTGTATAAAGTTGTAGGTTTTGTTAGAATTGGAAATTCAACACTGTCTTAGTGCGGATTAAGTCTTAAGACTTTGATAGTAGAATTTTGTATGCGGTTGAAAATCATTCGATAATAAATCTTGTAGAATTGATTGACTTTGCAATACAATTAGTTTGTACTTTGGTGAAGTTCAATAGTTCAATTTGATACATTGTAAATTCATTATGCACATTTGTGAATCTCTCAATATAAAGCATAATATCTTTTACGTAAAATTTGCTTCCACCACGCAAAATAAGCTCAGTTTTCAAAACAGTGTTAAAAACCTTTTTGAAACTAATTTTAATCTTTGGAGGTCTATTCACTCCCTCTATATCGTTCATAGTCCATATTATCACCCAACAAAGTTTGAATGTCAGGAATATAGAAATTCAGGAAAAGGAAGTTGATACACTACTTGATTAGGTCGAACATGATGAATCTTTGTGATAGATTTCAAGAACTTTTGATCTGATAAACTGTGAAGGTTTTGAACAGATGGATCGAAGAAAGAATGTATGATTGATGGAAAAATTGGGAATTAGAAGTCGATTCCCTCAGACGGTGCCACTGTTCTATGGCGAACCAAAATTGATTAGTGAATAAGTGATTGTGGAGGATCATAATGGATATAAGCTTCGGCTGCGGTGGAAATGGGGATGACCTGAAAAGTTAGCACTCCAGTACTCAAGTCAGTATATGAGAAAGAAGTGTGAATATAAATTTAATTTGAAATTGGATACCTGAAACTAGCGTGCTTTCTATATATAAGATAGAAGTCATAACAACCTGATATTTATTAGAAGTGTAATGCGAAGATCCGTTGAATGTATTTGAGATATTTTCTGAATTCTTTCGTAACATAGTTCTTTTGCGTTGTAAAGATTTTATTTAACTTACAACTCCTTTTGAGTGTCAAAATAAATTCACGGTCTATTTTACACAATTTTGGATACTGTGTTAGTTTTTGTAATTCAAATTACACTTTTCTTAAATATAATTTTTGGATACTGTGTTAGTTTTTACTCTAAAATTATAAACGTTTTTTTCTTAAATATATTCAAGTTGAATAACACATAAAAAAATTTCATAAGTAAAGAAAGAATAAATATACAAGAATAATATTTTTTTTTTATCAATTGATTGGAAATAATCTTCCCACTACTCTTTTGCGATTATCTTCTCTAACACCTACTCCTACACAAGATAACCAACGCAAAAAAATTAATATTATAACTTTTATCTACTAATTGATCAAGAAACAATAAATTAGAAGCAAAACCAGGAGATGCAAGTTCATCCCGAAAATCAGAATTTATGTCATCAATATTAGTGATAGATAAGGTATTACCATCAACAATTTGAATATATCAATTACCATGATAAGAGTGTAAGTTGTGCAAGTATTTAGAGAAAACCGTATTGTTATTGGATGCACCAAAATCAATAAATAATGAATATGAAACATTAGAAGACTTATCATGAATTCTCAAGGTCGAAAAAGCAGAAAATACCATTTGTTGAATCATTTCAAACTGTAGAGCACCACCGTTAAATGCACCAATTACAAAAGGACCAGTTAAGAAATTTGTAGTTGCATAAAATGCCTACATCGAAGAGTGTGTTGATTGTGAAGGACGTGTAGGACAATCAGATTTAATATGCCCTTATTGCTAGCAATAATTATTGAATTTTTTTACTATAACTACGAGAAATATGTCCAAATTTTTTACAAGAGAAACATCAAACTTGTATTATACCACGACCTTTACCTCTACTCTAAGCAACATATGCAACTGCCACAGGCTTAAAAACGACAACTTCATGAGACATGACTCCTTGAGTAATAAGATGTTGTTCCTCTCTTAAAAGTTCTCTAACACATCTATCCAAATAATGAATGAGATTTCTATTAAGCAAATCACCTCTAACAACTTCAAATTTTGGGTAAAGTTTTATGAGAAATTGATCTCGACTACTTGTGTTGTAGACCACTTAAGAAATCACGAGAGAAGTCTTGGAAACATCAAAATGAATAAGAGCGAAGTCTTTTGTCCACATATTAACAAAAGCATAATAATATTCTTAAACAAATAAACTACCTTGTTTATAATTGGTTATTTGTAGTTCAAAGTGAAAACACTTGGCTACATTGTTTTGGTTGTAAATATGTTTCAAATAGTAAACATTTTTTGAATAATTGAAAATGAGCGCACATTATTGAACAATTGAGGATTAATAATACCGAGGATCCTAGTGAATATTTGCCGCCTTGGAAGCAACCTCTAAGTGACTACATAATCTATTTCCTTTGAAATAATTTTTAAATTGAAATTTTTAAAGATGAATAATTCGTATCGGTAAAAATGAAACGAAAACAAAATTTCTCAATTTTAAAGTCATGGTGGTATGCTCAATCCCCGTATTTGCAATCAGGAAGGGGATGAAACTACTTGATGCTAGAGTAGACTCTCAAACTGAATTAATCGGTCCATTTGACCAAATACTATTGATGAAATGCAACACGCTTTGTTTTATTTATTTTTTTAAATTGTGTAACCGCTTGAATACTATCAAAAAAGACAAACAAAGAAAGAATTACCAACAAACAAAGTACCCAAACAAATGCATAGAACCAAAATGTGAATCACGAATACATCTTAAAGTAAAATCGATCACAAACACCAAATCACAATCACAAAGCAAAATCAATCACAAACACCAAATCACAATAAAAAAGTAATACTAAATCACGAATCAAAGACGAAATCAAAAAATAGCAACCGAACTCAAAACTCGAAATCACAAATGAGCCACAATCCATAACATCACCAAAATCACGATTTGAATACTTTAAATCGAGAATCACCTAGTCAAAATCAAGAGACGACACGAAGCCAAGTGAAGTGTTGCTGAACAAAGCCAAGATAACACAATTTCACAAGTTTGATTTGATCAAACCTTCTAAGTCTATGCCCACAAATTCTTGTTTGATGTCATTCTCGTTATATTCTTTCTATTTATAACATCATGAATATTCTTTAAAAAAATATAAATGTTTACACAATTGATTACAAATATTCTGTATCTATTTTTCTATTCTATTCTAATAAAGAAAAATATATATAAGTAAAAAAAATCATTAAATAATTTCTTTTATATCTGATTTTCTAGTTTATTCTACTAATAAAAAATCACTCCTTATTAATATACACGTCAAAAGCTTTTGCTTAGCCATCTTGTTTGTTTTCATTTTGTTACAAATTAGTGGATTTTGCTTTAGGTGACCTTTATATTAGATGCATTTTTAATTTTATTTCTTTTTTGGTATGGAACTCGATCATATCGTCTTTTAGGGAAAAATATGTTTTTATTTTGGGAAATAAGTTTTTTTTAGAAAAAAGATTTCTTTTCCAATATAACTTTTCTTTTATTCTAAATTTTTGAGACCTTCTAACTGACTCATTCTTCTTAGACTCAAAATTTTTGGTCTCTAAATTGACAACTCGTGAAAATTTTCTCAGATTTGTGTGCAACCGCAACTTTATTTCATAAAGTTCGATATTCCATCAGAATCTGTTGCCATTAAAGTGACTTTTTCAACAAGTTTAAAGGAGTAATCGGCATCTTCAACAATATTTATCCCCATCCACTTTCAACAATATCTGAGCATGATTATTCCATATAGCTGGAGAAAAGTTTCGCCAAAAATCTGTCACTAAGCCAAAGAGTAGGTAATCTGAATTTTATATATCTAATACGAAAGGCTACTCACCAATAATACAACTCTTCACTTTACAACAAATTTGCTCCTGAATTATGTAAAATAAAATAATTCCGATATTGTGTTGCTACTTGCTATAGCACACAAGATCTCTGCTATAATTATATGGCTATACACTTTTTTCACTCTTATTTTACGAGGTATTGGAAAGCTAAAAGCAAAGTCCATCCCATCATCTCCTTTGAAAATTGAAGGATTTAATTGCATACGCAAACACAAATGCAAAAAGAATGCAGAAACCAGCTACCATTGTAGCAGCAACGCACAGGAAATCGTGTCTGTACCCAAACACTTCTTTGAGTACTAGTCTTATGGGTACCGATTTTCCATCAGATAGCTTCACTAACTTATCATCACCACCATACTGTGAAGTTAGGAGACCATACAAAGTCCAGGCTACAGGGTTTGCCCAGTAATACCATCTCCACCAAATAGGGATTCTCTGTAAAATTTCAAGGAGAAAATTATGTTATTGGATGACAGATAGATAATTTAGTATATGAATATAAATTAATGTATTTCCGCTTTACATATTACAAACAACATGCCGATCGAAAGTGTTAAGAGTAGTTCTCTTTAGTTTGTAAAATACTCGTAAAATACCATGAAAACAAAAAGTACTACACACTTGAATATTCTCGGGAAAGATATCTAAGACTGGAATCTTGATGGTAACAATGACTCTTTTGAGAGTGTTAAACTGTTAATGGAAGAAATAAAGCATCAGTTTCCATACCTTATGAGGAATCATAAAACCACTGAAAAGGTTCCACAACATATAACATGGAGCAGCAATGATGGCAGCAACGTGATGATTTGGTGTGACGGCGGTAGTCATCATCCCGTAGAAGGTAAAATATAACATAGTAAAATACATGAAGAATAAGTACCAAATGAACCTATCAAAAGTCCAGACAAAGGAACCCATGGAATAGAATATTGAAGAGTATATGATAGCCTGCGCGAACACGTAAGGAAACTCGATCACAACCTGCACAATGTAGCACAACACATAAGTCAACTTACGGAAAACTGCATGTTCCAGGCACTAAGTAATCCTATCTGACAAAATACCTGAGCAAATGCAAAACTTAAAGCCGAGTACATCCCTGCAGCTCTTTCTCTATACGAAACAAATCTTTCCACAGAAACGACAGGTTGAACAGCTGTTCCATTTGTGATGCCAATAAAGAGGATTGCTGAATACATCGATCCCATGGCATTAAATAGATCTAGCTGTGTCTCCCTTTAGAAATACAAACATGGGAGTTGCATAAGGTTGATGGCAAAAGAACAAAATATGTATTAGAACAGAACTATAAATAAACTATATAAGCATATCATTCTAAACATTACATGAACCTCGAGACATCTTGGACAGCATTCTGTCGGTCTTTTTGTCTTAGCATTTTCCCTACCATTTGGTAGTTTAGATAATTTTTTAATCCCACATTACTTTAAAACCTAAATTGGTAAATTAATGTCTGCTGTATTCTGACTAACCAACTGATTCTGTCAACTCATTAGTCATTACTAGTGTCTTGCAGGGCTTTCATTATATTCACAAATATATAGGATCTATCATGTCATAGCTACTGACTTCTGGCAGGAAAACATGCAGAGGTTTAGCAAATGATAAAGAATGAACAAGTTATGATGCATTTAAACCAAGTTGCTTGAAATTGAATATCAAAGGGAAAAAACGAGAGAGAAAAGGACCTTGTTGCACCAAATCTCCAACATATTGTCCCAAGCATCAATGAGATGAAGACAGTGTAGAAGAAGCGAACAGCAGTGTACTGTGGGTTACGCCAGTAAGATAGATTTTGCTTCCAAAGACAAGTTAGGAACTGCTCAAAAGGGGTCCGACAATACTTGGTTGGAAAATGCAATTCTTTTGAATTACTGGTTGGTATGCTCAACCTTTCGACCAACTCTTGGTTATATCTGAAGAAAAGATGGTATATTAACATTTAACTTATATAAAAAATTCAAATACAAAAAGTTGCAGCTAAAAACTACGCATACTGATATAAACTTGATTTACGGTAGATTTCTGCAAAGTCCACTCCCAGGCGGTTTTCTTCTACTGAAGAAGTAACCTCCAGCATCCATGTCGCAGGGTTATACCCAGATCTGATCTTTGGTACTCCTTCGATTGCCTACATAGAAATAAGCATTATAAATAGTTGAGGATTCACCATTTAACCATAAACCATATAGAACATTCAAAAGACCTATGCAAGAACAGCTGACCTCAAAATAACTGATTAGTTCACTAGATTTAGGACCAAGTGGGCCGGCGTATATAAGCTCTCCTCCCCGCTTCATAAACAGAAGCTGTATAAAATATTGAGATTTCGTCAGATTTGTGAGATGATATTAAGTGTTAAAGAGAAGTTCAAATAGAAAGATAACATATGACGCTCTCTCAGAAACCATAAGGAAAATACCTCATCAAAGGATTCAAATATGTCTATGCTAGGCTGATGGATGGTGCAGACAATCGTTCGCCCAGTATTTACTATATTCCTCACAGTTCTCATCACAATGGCTGCAGCCCTGGCATCCAATCCGGATGTGGGCTCATCCATGAAGACTATAGAAGGGTTGGCAACTAGTTCCACTGCTATAGTTAACCTTTTTCGCTGTTCTGTTGACAGACCATCTACTCCAGGTAGACCTACAAGTGCTCCTCTTAGTGGAGTGAGCTCCACAAGCTCCATTATTTCCTCGACGAAGGCCTGAAAGTTATTTTTTCAATTAAAAATGTTTTAAAATATTTTGTGCTTGTCTCTATACAACGGAAAAAGGCCATACTATCCCTATGTCTCACCTTTTGTGTCTCCAAGTCAACATCTGAAGATAATCGAAGCCAAGCAGAAAAGAGTAAGGATTCCCAAACAGTCAAGCCAGGGGAATGCACATCAGACTGCTCACAGTAACCAGAAATTCTTGCAAATGAATCTTGTCTTTTAGGATAACCAGATATATATACACTCCCTTCTATGAAACCGCCAGTTTTTCTTCCAGCTAATACATCCATCAGAGTGGTTTTCCCAGCACCACTTACTCCAACCAATGCTGTTAACACACCAGGCTTAAAAGCTCCGGTAACATTAACAAGTAGCTGCAGTCTGTCTTCTGATATCCCTTGTTGTTTCAACTCCTGAAGCAATCATTGAACGAAAAAACATTTAGCCTACCGGATTAATTTTACAAAAATAAAAATGATTTGTTTACCTACCAAAGGGACTTCCACATAGTAATTGATATTTCTGAAAGCCATGGAAAGAGGTTGAAATGGGAGAACCATTCCCTTTTGCTTAAAATGCTTACCTGGGAAGATAAGACAGTTGAATAAAATGTTAAGCCTTATCTATACACATAGTCATGTAAAAACTGTATGTATACTCTGAAAATTATATCAACAAACCATTTGATGCCGAATGTTGCAAGTACTCTCTCAGCTCAACAACAACGCTTTCACCGTTTCTTCTCTTTTCTCTTTCTTGCAGCTCACCTTTTGAGACTACAGCTTGTTGTCTTCCCAAAGCTGAAGCAAATATTGGGAGAGCAAGATATTATAAAAGCTGTCTTCCTAACAAAGCTATTTTGGTCTATGAAGATCAAGAAGGAACCACAACATCAGACAATTAGATTGATTATATACAAAATCACGAGTCTTACGATTAAGGTAAGCTAAGAAAATTGTAAATAGAAAGTTGAACAAAATTGTGTATCCAACCAATGCTCCAACACCAATCCAATACCAATAGCTCTCAGTATACAAACTCCTTGCTTTTAACACTGCCTTGCCCAATGGATAAGTGGTCAGATTTCCAACTTTCTGTAAACAAGATTAAATAGAAAGATGAGTCATTCAAGATGCAGTAAAGAAATTGCTGAAGAGACTCATGTTAAGTAGATATCATCTCATCACTTCACAACATTATCATCTGCATTTCAAAACTAGAAAAGTAGTACCAATGGTACTGAAAGAAACAAATGATCACAATCACAACAAGGATTATACCTTATCCCAGGAATGTCCAAGGAACTCATTTACAGAAGCAGAATTCTGTGCATACATCAAAGGGGAAACCCAAAAGCCCCATATCCACCAACTTGGTATACGGTCTGCCTCAAAATAAGTTAGTCAGAAAATTTAGTTTACCAAAACAGATTTTGAAACATGTAGATATTGTAATTCCCAACTGACCTTTTGAAATTATATATCCACCAAGAGCCATTACAACCAACATAGCAAATGATCCAAAGGTATTGGCTACTATCATATTCCGACCCAAGGATCCTATCAAGCGAAACAGGCCTATAGACATCTGGTGCAGAAAGAAAAAAAGCAAGAATTGCTGAAGAAATCTGCAGATCCAGATAGACACAAAATAGTTACTCAAGAGAAACTCTTGGAATGCATGAAAACACTAAGTGAACATAAGAGTTATTACCTAGTAAATGCAGGATCATATCCACTTGAATAGTATGATACCACTACCCAGCATCCAGCCTCCATGAGAGAAGTTGGGATACTAAGGAACCAAGAAGGGAGTGTATATGCCCAGCTAGGATAGAAATGCAAGTCTCTGTGCTTGTAAAGAACTGGAAGCTTTGCAACTAACATTGAGACTTCCGTAAAACCATTGAAAAGAATAGTAATCATAGAAAAATACAGTGCTCCAAGATATAAGCCTCCATCATCAATTGTATTATGGTGCATCGTTGTTCGGAAAAAAACACTCATTGTAATTAAAGCAACCAAAATCAGCTGAAAATAGTAAGTAAAGGTCAATATCAGCTACATAAACCTTCATATCTAATTCTACCTTAGAGCCAGAAAAGGCAGTCAAATTAAAATGATCAAAAGAAAGAGACATGTGTAAATGCAAACGCATTACAAAGAAGATTAGGAGATTACAAGAATCTATGCTTTTTCTTGAAGTAATTTCAATAGAACTACTTGTACCATAGAATTTATATTGATAGGATTACCTGAACAAATTTAAAAATGTAAATAAATGCATTTCTTTTTATGAGAAGCTTCTGCCACTGATAATTAATCTTAAGAAGTTCAAGCCTTTTTGCTCCATAGGAACAAGTTGCCAAGGCAGCTGGATGGTTATAGCGCCTATTGAAAGGAATATTTAGTTCCTCAGACAAAAGCTTTCCCTCACGATACAAGGAAAATGCTTGGGCAAATTTCCCAGCAGGTGTGTACCGGTAAGGGCGGTCGAGAACAGACCAGTACTGCTCTTGGTCCTTCTTAGACGTGACCTGTTGATAAGAATTTTAAGTCTGAACAGTTATTGAAGTTAAAAAGTATTAGAAATATTCATTCAATACCACTACTACTCACTTCTTGTAAAAAGTCTGCTACATTTTTTCGCTCAGGACAACTGAATCCCATCAGTTTGAAAAATTCAATAGCAGCCTCACGGGGCCCCTGATAAACAATCTGACCCTCGGACAAAAGAATAACATCATCAAATAATTCGTAGGTCTCAGGAGCTGGTTGAAGAAGAGATATGATTGTGGTTGCATCAAGTGCGCGTGTTGAATGCTTGAGATATCTGATGATCTGATATGTAGTTGAACTATCTAGACCAGTTGATATCTCATCCATGAATAGCACTCTTGCAGGTCCAACTAGTAATTCGCCTGTAGATCAGACATTAACTGATTAGCATATTGCAAATGTTTTTAAGGCGCTAGTACAAAAGGCAAGATAATCACTAATACATTTCACTAACCTGTTGTAAGCCGCTTCTTTTGTCCTCCCGATATTCCTTTGAGCATTTCATCCCCCACCAATGTGTCACCGCACATGTCCAAACCTAATATCTTTGTGAGAAATATTTTAGTACTTTTTACTAAACAACCAAATAATCATATAAATACACACATAATTGTAGCTTATGAATATTTTTTTAGATAACTGCCAAAGAATTTAAGAACATGATGGAATTTAGCTTTGATGATTTTTCTTTTCTTTATTGGTATGTCCAAAATTTTATTATGTACCACGAATTCCGTTAGTAGAAAAAATATTCCAAAATCAAATTGAAGTCAACAAATATTTCAGGTCATAACCATGTAACAACTTGCTGTGCGTTCAAGAGTAACATTATTTAGGGAATACCTTCATGATGTACTCAACCACAAGATTTGTTTCCTGTCCACCGAGAGCTAATGACTGCAAAAAGAATCTTGAGTAGATTAATTTGTGACCATGAGTGAAGTTTAAAATTGTTATTTTGAAAAGGAAAAAAAGGAGGAGGTATTATCCCCCATTAAAGGGAAGAAGAAGAAAAATGAGTATGTGCCTTCATGAATAAATCAAGATCCTCATCAGGTTTTATTCCAGCATTCTTTTCTCTTCTAGCAAGTTCCATCAACATATCTGGTAAGACTCCAAAATTTAGTACTCAGAATCTAAAATAGAAAAAGTGAGTATTAGTAACATGATTACAAAAGAAGCACACCGTGTTTAAATCCAGCTCCTTGACAGCAACCAGCAAACTGGAGAGTTTCCCTCACGGTCATCTCTGCTACATGCCAATCTTGTTGGCTGACATAAGCTGATGTTCTCTGAGGAACAAACTCATTCAGACCATGTCCATTGTAGGTAATGTTCCCTGACATCTTCAAAAGGCATGAAAGAACATAAATTAGATGGGAGGAAAACAAAGTTTTAAATCGAGGATTGTAGAATAGTAAGTATAGGCTACTAGTTATGCTATTTAGTAATTATTATGTGAATCAAATGGAGAAAGAATCCATGAATTAACTAAATTTTTGTAAAAGAAGGAAGAGAGTGCAGACAGAAGCCTAGTGGATGCCTTAAGCCATTCCATTCATTATCATGTGAATCAAATGGAGAAAGAATCCATCAATAAACTAAATTTTTGTAAAAGGAAGAGAGTGCAGACAGAAGCCTATTCGATGCCTCAAGCCATTCCATTAATTATTACCCTTTTTTTTTTTACTAAACGGAGTTATTTCGTATCCAGTCAAGCTATTCGAGATAAATCCAAGCAGAGTGTGGCAAAAGCCAAAAATAGTGTCTCCGGTTAATAAGGCTTTTCGTACAAGATATACAAAGTAATGTTATTGATTGAATACAAATGAGTGATGTGTAGTTGCTTTCAACATGAATTTTACATGAAACTACTCATGTATTGCTTTACATTCTGTTTTGATATTGTCAACTTTTTAACAATCATTTTGAACCGACAGTATTGCTGCAAGATTAAACAGCTTGACTGGCAAGAGTTTCTATGCGGTTGGCATAGTAGTTGGCCATCCAGACGTATGTATATAGGAACCCCATTAGAATTTGTTCAAAGCAATTGAAAAACTTAGTATACCTGCAAACCAGGTCCTAATCTGCCAGCAAGAGCTAAAAGCAATGTTGTTTTTCCAGAGCTTGGCGGACCCAATAACAATGTTAGCCTGCAACAATAACAAAACAACAATCTATCAAACTCAGTACAACATACAGAAACAAGAATTACCATGCATATAAGGTTTATAATTATTGGGAAAAGAAGCTTTAAAAAATATATTATTTATCAATGTGATTTTCCTTTGAATCACATATAAAGTGAAAATAGGTATATCTTTATTTCCCAGTGACAAGTATATGATGTACAGTACGACATTCAAAACATAAAAAAATATAAGAACCATGAATTGGAAACGGTAAGAAAATAGTGTTTCAATAATATAAATAAATATTTCCTTTGTTTTTTTAGATGTTGATTTATAAATATCAACAACTTGCTTACATTAATAAATAAATATAAATAAATGTTGTTAACGCTCATTTAACTCAACTAGTTCATAAGAGTTGAACTACCCTACCCACCCATAAATATTTCATTTGTAACATATAATTTTTTGAAAAATAAACATTTAAAACAATTAAGTTTTATGTCTACTCATTACACCAATGTATCAGTTTAGACAAATCCACTCATTTTCGGGTTGAATTGGATTGGGTAGTGGGTTATCCAAATAATTTCTCTTTTTTTATTAATATTAAATGACTAAATGATGAGTCATAATATTTTTTTCTCATAAAAATTACTCAACAATTTTATTTTCTTAAAAAAAATTAAATAACTTATTTTTACTATCTTTTAACATCATAAAATAATAAATGATATCATCAACTAATAATAAAATTATCATAAAATACTAGTAACAAACTAAAGTTCCATGACATAAAATTGTATTAGTATAAAATAACTAAAGGGTGAAATATTTAAAATTAGTTAAAATCTTGATTCACTAAAATTACAACCGTTAAAAAGACTAAAATTGAAACAACTAAGTTAATATTAATCAAAATTATTAAAATTATAATAATAAATGTTTGATTAGTGGATCAGTGGTTTTTTTGAGTTTGAGTCAAGTTTCACCCACAACCCCGAATTTTTTAATGGGTTTTTAAATTTTTAAACCCATATCCACTCAATTACCCAATTCAACCCACTTTTTTGAATTTTTTTGAGTGAATTTGACCGGGTTGACCCAACCATGTACACCCCTGGTTCCCACCACGGCTAAGGATGAAAGTGATGACATGTCAAAGTGTGGTTAACGCTAGTTGAACGCATTTTTGTGACATAAACCCTGTAAGTACCCAATATAGTAAAATAGCTTTCAACACTGACCTTGAAGGTCTGATAATCCCACTGATATCAGATAGAATTGTTAATTTGCTTCTCTTTCTTCTGTATAATCGCAACTGTCTTAAAAGAGTCTAATCACAAAATGAAAATCAAATTAGCAAGCTATTCTAAACTGAAAGAAAAAGACGATTTATTTAACTCAAGGTCTAAAAATAGGAACCAGAATGAACTGGAAAACCAAACAAGAAAAAGGTAAAAAAAAAGCACCTCAGTCATATTACAGATGAAATTTGGAATTGTAGGCAGAGCTCTGCTTCCGACATGTACAAAAGTCTCAATGGTTAAGTTTTGAAATCGAACTTCAATCTTCGGAAACTCCAAATGAACTCTGTAGAGATCATGCATCAAGTAAAACGAATTAACTACCATAATTTTGTTTTTTACTTTATCTACCTGCATATTATTATTACAGCTAAAGCAAAAGTGAGAAATTCAAACAAACCTACTATGAGCTATCTGTAAGAATGGAAGAAAGAATCAACCAAGTGCATGTTTGGATACAAAATAGTATTTGTAAGAATCAAAGTTAAACCTGGACGTGACTCTAGTAAACTTTAGTGTCTTTTAATTATAGCACGGAAATTTAGTAATAATTGAATGATTTTTGTAAAATTGATTTTAGTTCAAAAGCAGCCTCCTTAATTTTAGGAGTTAATAAAGTCTAGATGTCAAATCAATTATAATTGAGAACTTATAAAGATGCGAAACCAATTTAAATCTTGAAAATCACTTTTGTCTCATCTATGAGTAAATCCAAATATGTATTTAGTGATATCCAAATTATTCAAACATTAAATCATCACTTCAAACTCAAATTTACGCAAATCAACTTTACAAAATCAATCCACACAAATAAACAAAAAGTGAAGCAGAACAACGCCATTTCCAAGTTGATGAACGACCTATTAGCGCAATTGATTAAGAATCAAAGTTCTAGACTCTGCATTTTGCTAACAAGAACGAAGGAGTGGAAAAACGAGTGATGATAAAGGAAGAGGTAGAATTACGCATCAAATCGGCTTCTCATACGGTGGAAGAATCTCTCAGGATCATTATCAACGAAATCAACCAGCCTTTCCAAAATAAGCTTCTGCTCCGGCGTCTGTAGTTCACTCACATCGATCTCTTTCTTATCACCGACGAGATTCTGGAAGATTCCTCTCCTTGCTCGCTTGTAAGTCGGAAGCCTCTCCAACGCCGCCCAGCGTAAAGCCTCCTCATCTTCTCCTCCCTCCCTAAACGACTCCGATCTGGCGAAAGCGTTCTCCGCCGAGTTCCACATTGCTCAGCGGATTTCAACTACCAAATTTCAACTAATTTTGATTTAAAACGAGATAGAAAAAAAAGAAAGATAATAGAGAGAGATAATAGAGGAATTAATAGCGTAATGAATGTGATGAATGAAGAAGTGGTTCTACTTGTTATGAGTGTAGATAGATAGATAGAAAGGTAGTTGAGAGTAAGAAAGGAAGCATTAATGAAAGAGTGTACTCTCTTTCTTAGTTCTCCACAGACTGAGTGGGTGATTTCCATAAAGCGCAGTATAGTAGTTGTGCTGTTTGTTGTTAAAAAGGACTCCCTCATTTAATAGCCGCGGGAAACACAATCAGCCGATGGTGCGTGATACTGCACGCGCTTCTAATTTTCACTCGCTCTCGTTTCTTAACACCTGTTTATTGTGTTTTTAGAGGGGTATCTTGGTCATTTGATAGAACCGGTTCAATAATCCACATTATGTAATGCATTACAGCACTAGTGAAACGTAGTAATAATGTAGCGTGAATTGTGATGCGATGGAATCGGTGCTCTGCATTTTAGTTACTAGAGTGAAGTAAATGGCTGATTTGGGAAACGGTTATTCAAGACACGAGTGATGATTTACTGTTTGACGTTTTTAGTGCTGGACATTCAATTAGAGCATGTGGTGGTTTGCACTTTGCTGTATCTGTTTTAGTGAATAAAAGCTACTTGGATTATTATTGGGAACTTTTTAATGCATATGGTTTAGTCGCACCTCGTAAATATTAAACAATATTTCAGATTTAGGTAATGTATTTTTGAATGTATTTTATATAAATATATTTTTTAATCATGTCTTATGTCAATGAAAAAAAATTATGGAAATACATTTTACTATAATTTATGGAAATGATCTTCGAACGTTGTCTATCCAAAACGCGTTAGAATTTTTTTCATTCTTCAATTTTAAAAGAAAAAACGTTAAAGATTTTTAAAGTCTCTCAACTCACATTATCTCAAAATCATTCAGTCAACTTCAAAATTTCTTCTATCAACTTTAAATTCATAAAATAACTCATTCAACATTGAAGTAAATTTACAATTTGTAAATTTTTTATTTTTTTAAATATTTTTTAGTTTTTAAATAAATTTGTATAAATTGATGATTAGGTTATGGAATAGATAGTTTATACATTTTTGATAGTTTATATATAATGAGATACGTGTTTGATAGGTAGTTTTATTGATCAATGCATTATTTTGTTGTTTTAAGGGACTGCATCACTACTATTGACGCTTATGAGAGTTGTAGAAAATTTCGAAGATACATCTCTGAATTTTTTGATACCTAGAAATCAGAGATGCATCTCTGGAGTTTTTAGTCTGCATTTTTTGTTGCTTTTTTTTCTTCGCTTTTGTGGTTTACTTATATGCATTATGACAGATAGAGAAAATCGATTAAGGCACAAAAGGATTGCATAACATGCATCTACTCTGAGGAAAAATAGTCAGTCAACGCATGCTCCTGGCCTCTAGCTCGATTGATGCAAATGCGTCAGCTTTTGGGGATCATGTATCTTTGTCTTCTTCTTTTCGTAGGAGACGCATGTCATTTACTCATGCATCCCTACTTCCATCTTCTCGTAGGCGACATGTTTCACTTATTCATGCATCCGAGATAACTGAGGTACTCGAGTCACCGGAGGTACCTCAATCACTATAGGTACCTGAGGCATCACGAGCACAAGAGGCAATAGAGGTACCTGAGACACCCCAGACCTAGGAGGCAGGAGAGGTACCTGAGACACCCCAGACCCAGGAGGCAGGAGAGGTACTTGAGGTACCCCAGGCTCAGGAGGCAGCCGTGACACCGCATGGGTTTGGAGGAAGGTCGTTAGACTTGTCACTATTGCCTCTTTACCCAGATCATATTGTCGAACATGTTTGGAAATGAGAGATAAAATTAGTTGAATTCATTCTTTTTAAATCATGTTTGTTATAATATTAAAAGTTTCTAATGGTGATTTATTTTTTTGCAGGATCACGATCCACTAAAATTCATCAACCATGGGCGAAAGATTACTGGGCGACATCAACCTAATGAGTTATGGTTTAAGGATGTTTTGCGGCTATTAAGGATGAGGGACTTGCGCAAGACTGGTTATGATATGGTTAACCATGATATGCTTAATGCCTTTGTATAGAGATGACACACAGAGAAGTCATCATTTCATCTTCTACCGTGTGACATGTCTATCACACTGGATGATGTCTCATGTCTGCTACATTTTCCTATTAGGGGGAAACTTGGAAAGATTAACAAAGATGATGCACTGGAGTTAGAGCTGACAATGAACCAAACAAACTCAAAAATAGTTCGAAACTTGGTTCTACAATTAAATCGTTAAATTAGATCCATGAGTCAAATGAGTTGAATATGACCGAAAAAATAAGTTCATTAACTAAATGAGCTAAACTTGAACTATACATAGTTCGAATTGTTAGGTTCATGAATCAACTCGATTATATATTAGAAGGATTTATTGTCTTTAAGAGTATGTTTAAAGATTTACTCAAAATCTTAATCCTATATTATCTTTTAATATAACGATTTTAATTGATAATTTATATTCTAAAGTGAACAAAATATTTCTAAAAATAACTATAGAAATAAAATCAACATCATATACATTATGTTTTTTTAAGAAAATAATTTAAAAATCCGCATATATTTTCTAATTTAAAAAATATCACCTAAATTTATTTAATTATAAGAAATAGACTTTAAAATATCACACACACACTCACACACACACACGCATATATATATATATATATATATATATATATATATATATATATATATATATATATATATATATATATATATATATATATATATATATATATATATATATATATATATATATATATATATATATATATATATATATATATATATATATATATATATATATACACACACACACACACACACACACACACACACACACTTTAAAAAATAGTTTTTAAGTTTGTGAAGCAAGCGAGTTGAACCTAAAGAGTTGAAATGAGTTGTTCGTGAATTTATAACAAGTCGAGTTTGAGTAAAAAAAAAGTTTGTATCGAACTCGAACTGTGATTTGAGCTGAATTAATTATTAACGAGTCGAGCCAAGCTGAGACGAATTCGACTCGACTCATTTCCATCTCTAATTGGAGTTAATGGTAGACTATCTGGGAGTTGACCCAAAGGTTTCCATGAGGGAGTTTGAAGTCACCCGAGGGGCTCATACTAGGTTTTAATTCCTGGAGAAGGTGTATATAAATGAGCTTCTTAGAGCAAAGCAGACAACTCGTGATGACGAACAGGTTACGCAACATAGAGCATACGCTATGAGAGCATATATGTTGTATTTGGTTGGCACTACCATTTTTATGGACAAAAGTGTCACTTATGTTGATGTCATCTACCTGCGATACTTTGACAATTTTGAGCGGATCATGAGTACAAGTGCGGGACCGCTTGTTTGGTCTACTTGTACTCTAAGTTATCCGAAAACATTATGTGGAAGACGAAACAGATGACATGCATCATCACACTATTGATAGTAATATTTCTTTTTCTTCTAGTTTTTGTGTGCCATTTGCATAAGTCTTTTGCAACGCCATTACAAATGATCCATGTGTTCCAACACTTTTCAGACTTGGATCCTCCAGTACTTCCCACGCATACCCAGCTGGTTATATCTACCAACCTGTACCGAGGACATACCACGTGCTACTACATTTGCCCCTCTCAGAGGGAGCCAAACGATAGAGTCATTAAGATTATATTTTAACTGTTTGGTAGTAAAGGATATACATTTCCATGTGTATGATGATCACTGTGAGACACGTCTCTTTGATGACATTGCCTTATACTCTAGACGGTTGGCTTGCGGCTCACATTTGATGTATCTTCACCTGCTTGAGTGTGTCATGTGGTAGACACGTAGAGATATGGATGTTATGTTTGATGATCATCTTAATCATCTAGTACCTAAGGAGGCACAGAGTACCACAGTTGAGAGTGACTGAAGTTACGTAGACGGTTACATCTGTTGATTTTTCAGAGTGTCACATCCTTATATGATGCAAGATGCTCCAGAAGATCCACCAATGCCATCTCATCGGGAGATACTAGATGAGGAGCGAGTTAGGGCAGATAATGTTATTGATGTGTTATCTAGATGTCATCGTATCATGTAGATTGGAGATGCGGATATTGATAGAGGAATTTTTCCAAAAGACTCTAAGGCAGGGGGCGTTGTAAATTCCATGATGGCGGAGGCATTGTAGTATAGGAGGCAACAAAGGAATAGGGGGTCTCGAGGTCGAGCCCGTCATATGCAGTAGTGTACTCTAGATTTATTTTTGGTTGTATTTTATTTTGACTTATTTCAACTTTATTATGTACTTTGGATTTATTATTTTATATATTTAATTTTTTGCATATCCATTGTATGGTCTAATTTATCATAGTATACCTTTACTATATCTTCAATTTCATTTGAGCATCACTAAAACAAACTTAAAATTTAATGTCTGATCTAGATAAGGAGATGTATCTATGAATTCTATCTGGTGTGCATACGAAGATGCATCTCTGGAATAATTTATGGTAAAATTGGGTGTTTCGGATAGAGATGTATGAGGTGTAAATTGAATTATTCTAGAGATGCATCTTCAGATTAAAATTTAGAAAATATATTGGATGTGACTCAATTTTAACGTTTTTACTCAAGACAATGGTGCATCTCGAGATGCATCTTTATAATCTGAAGGATAATTTTAGTTTTTTATAGGATGTTTTTCCACCACATAAGGTAAGGTTAATTTTTCACTTATTATATTAGATATGAACAAAAAGCGTTGGAATTTAGTTTGAAATAAGTTCAAGTGCAACATTATTTTTCATAAGATGCATCTCCCTATATTATTTTTCATAAGATGCATCTCCCTAAAAATATTTTTTTTTTTTTTCGTTAGACTTGATAGAATA